AAATTTGAAACAGGACTGGTAATTGGACACTTCCATAACAGAAGATTATGAGAAAGCACAGCTGTGGTAAATTATGATAAGAAAATTCATTCAGAAGAATCTGTTATAGCAATGCTTTCAATTCCCTGGACTCTTCTTGCTTCTCAAATTCTTCTAGAAGATCAGTATCATTTTACCAGAAGATCTCAGCCGCAGACCTTTGTGTTAAAATGTGCATACTTCTTGGCTCTCTTGAGATTTCTAGTTTGCCTGCAAGTTTGCATATTTATTTGCAATATTGTATTTCTTTTTCATCCTTAAGTATTCCTGACCTTACTTCATCTTTCACTGCTAAAATAATTGTAATTCAGTACTATGAGGACAGAGCCTAATGAATGCACTTTCTGAATTGTATTAACAAAGTTATTGCTTTGTTTCCATTGTCTAACAACATTGAAGAGTTTTAATGGAATTAAGCTTTGATTGTTTGATTTTATTTTATAATACTTAAATAATTATACATTCACATAGTGGCTATATGTAAGGCATTACCATTTTCAATCCAGAAAGCAATTTGTTTTTTAATGTAAAAACTTTTAATTAAAAGATGGGGAAAAATGGCTTTCAGAGAATTTGTAACCAGATTTCACATTAGGAAATGAATCCTGATCAATCATTGCAAATCTGTTACTAGTTTCAGCAAAGTCTGTGCATTTAGTAATGCTTGTGATAAAAATTGGGAGAGACTACAACTCAAATAAGTAAAAATCAATGAGTATCTATACATTTACTGGCAAATTTTAGCAAATGTGGTCACTTTTAGATTTATGGACTATCCCAAATTCCTTATCAATATATCTTCTGCTAAGATTTTTGGATTTTCTCTTTTCCCCTTGAGAATACAGAAACCAAGAAGGCTGCTTTCAAATATGTTGTAATGGCTCTTTGGAAATTTCCAATTTTAACAACATTTGATTTTGTAATTTTTTTTTAGTGTGCAGTGTAGGATAAAAGAGAGATGCCTGATCCAAACTCACCTAACCAACTTCTGTATCTAAGAAAAGTCTAAACCTGAATCTCGTTATTCCTAATTTGTGTTGCAATCACTACCTACATCGACTTATATACATGTATATACTGAAATTATTTGTGAAGTTCTTTATGTTCAATATCTGCTATGAATGAATGTGTGTGTATATTTACTCTTTTAATCAGCCCTTAAATGAATTTGCTTAATTTTCAAGGCCATGTAAGTGAATGCTGATTAGTTTTTGAACTAGAAACATTTCAGGTTCTTTGTCCAGGATCTCCTACAGATGAAACTCAAAAAATTAGAATATTGTGCAAAAGTTCATTTATTTCAGTAATGCAACTTAAAAGGTGAAATTAATATATGACATAGACTCATTACATGCAAAGCAAGATAGTTCAAGCCATGATGTGTCATAATTGAGATAATTATGGCTTACAGCTCATGAAAACCCCAAATCCACAATCTCAGAAAATTAGAATATTACATGCAATCAATAAAACAAGGATTGCACATAGAAGAATATTGGACCTCTGAAAAGTTTAAGCATGCATATATACTCAGTACTTGGTCTGGGCTCCTTTTGCAGCAATTGCTGCCTCAATGCGGCATGGCATGGAAGCCTGTGGCACTGCTGAGATATTATGGAAGACCAAGATGCTTTAATAGCAGCCTTCAGCTCTTATGTATTGTTCAGTCTCATGTCTCTCATCTTTCTCTTGGCAATGCCCCATAGATTCTCTATGGGGTTCAGGCCAGGCGAGTTTGCTGGCCAATCAAGCACAGTAATACCACGGTCATTGAACCAGGTTTTGGTGCTTTTGGCAGTGTGGGCAGGTGCCAAGTCCTGCTGGAAAATGAAGTCAGCATCCCCATAAAGCTCGTCTGCGGAAGGAAGCATGAAGTGCTCCAAAATCTCCTGGTAGATGGCTGCATTGACTCAGGACTTATTGAAGCACAGTGGACCAACACCAACAGATAACATGGCTCCCCAAATCAACACAGATTGTGGAAACTTCACACTGGACTTCAAGCATCTTGCAGTGCCTCTCCATTCTTCCTCCAGATTCTGGGTCCTTGGTTTCCAAATGAGATGCAAAAGTTGCTCTCATCAGAAAAGACCACTTTGGATGACTGAGCAACAGACCAGGTCTGTTTTTCTTTAGCACAGGTGAGATGCTTCTGATGTTGTTTGTTGTTCAGGAGCAGCTTGACAAGAGGAATATGATATTTGATGCCCATGCCCAGGATCCATCTGTGTGTGGTGGCTCTTGATGCACTGACTCCAGCCTCAGTCCACTCCTTGTGAATGTCCCCAACACTTTTGAATGGCCCTTTCCTGACAATCCTCCAGACTGTGGTCATCCCTGCTGCTTCTGCACCTTTTTCTTCCACACTTTCCCCTTCCACATAACTTTCTATTAATGTGCTTTGATACAGCACTTTGGGAACATCCAACTTCTTGTGCAATTACCTTTTGAGGCTTTCCCTCCTTATGGAGGGTGTCCATGATGGTTTTCTGCACAACTGTCAGGTCAGCAGTCTTTCCCATGATTGTGATTCCTACTGAACCAGACTGAGAGACTATTTAAAGCTCAGGAACCCTTTGCAGGTGTTATGGCTTAATTAGCTGATTAGAGTGGGACACTTTTAGCCAAGAATATTGAACCTTTTCACAATATTCTAATTTTCTGAGATTGTGGATTTGGGTTTTTCATGAGCTGTAAGCCATAATCATCTCAATTATGACACATCACGGCTTGAACTATCTTGCTTTGCATGTAATGAGTCTACGTCATATATTAGTTTCACCTTTTAAGTTGCATTACTGAAATAAATGAACTTTTGCACAATATTCTAATTTTGCAAGTTTCACCTGTATAATTGGAACAAAAAAAAAAAGATTTTACTTCTAGTACAGAATTGTTGTATATTCTTTTATATTTTTCCCTATTACTTGTGATTTAGGGATAGCCTGATACCTTTTAGTACAACAGTCATTGCCAGCTTTTCCATTATAAGTGCTTTTTACAGCTTTGTAAGTCAGCAGTAAAATATACTTGTCCAATTTGAAGCTTGGCATGTAACATCTTCATTTAAAAGCTAACTTTTTTCCCTATCTAAAAATGTTCAGGAAGTAAAGAGATTAGGATGTGTCTTTATTCTCTTTGTCTAAGTGATATTATTTACATGGAAAAATAGCTTACCAGCTCTGCTGAGGTCATTGGTATTCGAGATTGAAAACTAACCATTTTTCTTATATGGGGGGCTTTTGTCCCAACCCTTTCCTTAAGAATTTCCATTGTTTTTATATGCCAATATCCTTAAGTCTATTTTCATATCTGAAATTAAATACCATAACAGTCATTTAATCCTGTTAATAAAATAATACTTGATCTATTTGATTGGTTGATTTATTGCCATTCAATTAATATTGCATAGACCAATCAGTTGATGGAATGTACAGCCACAGTTTTTAAAAAAAGACTAAAACTTTCAAAAATTTTAAAAAATCCCAGAGATGTAAAAATGAATCCTATAGATTCAGCACTGAAAAAACATTTCACCACCTGTCTATCTAACACGGATATACTGGAAATATGCTTAATATTAAAAACATAATATGGTAGAAATACTATGTAGCAAAATATTTATTTTATCTAGCAAATTTATTTTATCTATCTTAGACTTCACAGTGCTTTATAGCCTAATTTCACAGTGCTTTATAGCCTCAATAAGCAGTTCACAGAGTCAACATAACACCTGGATTCTCATTTTACAAACCTTGAACGGATGGAAGGCTGAGTCAACCTTGAGCCGGTGAGACTCGAACTCCTGGCAGTCGGCAGAATTAACCTGCAATTCTAACCATTGCACCACCACATAGGCTTCTATCAACTACAAAGTATTATACAGACTTCCCAATGTAAATGACAGAAGGCCAGATAATTTCATAGAGTGATGTTTCAGAAAGCACAGTGATATAATGGTGTTTCTTTAGCCCAAGCAATACTACTAAATTATATGATTAGAATAAAAAGAACTAAGAAGCTATTAGGATTTCTTCTTTCAAGGGAACCATCCTTCATATATTAAATTTATCGTTAGACTCTTATATGTACCAATGCCATTTTGACGGTTATTGAATGATAACCTTGACTGTGTGACTACAGTTGGGACCAAAATCTTGGTCACTGAGCAAAGTGATCATTAAGTCTTTTTTTTTCTTTAAGAGCAAAAAATAGATTTCAACTCCTGGAAGGATTTTAACTCCCTTCTGTCCACTTCACTTGGAAACTTCCTTCCAGCTTCCCCTTTTTGGGGGGGGAAAAGACAAGAAGACTGCAAATAGCGATCATGTGATCAGAGGGCTCTTGGCAACATGTTGTAAATTCAGGCTAGTTGCCAAACATCCATAATGTTGACATGTGACTGGAGGAGGGCAACATTTTCTGACAGCTGGAACTGCTTTATGGCTTTTAAGCATCCTTTCTGAGACCATCATAATTTTGAATGATCATTAAATAACAAGTCATAAATCAAGGATTATATATGTAACATTAGCTATAACATTTTTTCACATTTTTGTTATTTTTTGCTTTGTAATTTGTAGCCAAAATCTCTAAAAAGTACATTTAATCAGAATGTATTGCCATGTATTTTTGTTTAATGTTAGCAGTTTCATGAAAGAAAATTGCAGCCTTTTTTTTCCAAATGGACCAATGGCAAGGTTAACCGATAATTGAATTTATTAAGACACAATCATATAATTATACAGGTAGATACAATGAGAAGACAACCATTATAGTAATTCTGGGTCTCTATATGTACATAGCTATTTCTGATAAATGTTTTGGAAATGTTTACTTAACTTTTGTGAATGGTTTTGATTTGGAAATGGTTACTTAACTTTTAATACAGCTCAGTGATGTATTCCATCAATATTGGAAGCAAAACAGAGGCCTGTAGTAATGCTTTTATTCTTCTACAGGGACCAAAGCAGAGTTTCAATGAATCTATAATAACGGAACCCTGTGTGACTGGGGTAAGTTCTTGCACTTTATTGCAGCAGTTGTTTCTGACACAATTATAACGTTGAACAATATCAGAATATTTTTTCTAAAATTTTTAAAACAAATTTATTGTTTTGAGGAGGAATTTCTTATTCCAAGTTTGGGGGTGTAAATTCTATTCCTCATTCTTTGGTTTGGTAGGCTAAGATCCGATTACTTTAGTGATTTCAGCTGACTTTATGGTCCAATTTTTGAGATACATCTGTTCAATTCACTTGAAATAATTTCTTTTATTTTTACATGGAAATCTATATTTAAGAGGAATGGGTGTATTAATGCCAGAATAGCTATTCACCTTCAACCATGGTAATGATATTTTAATTCTTAAGCAGACTATGATTTTGTAGGTCACATGGTAATTGCCCTTGATCTGTGCAGTGTAATTAGCTCGTAATTGGGAAGAACATGCAATCACATGGCTCTTTGTAAGACCTTTAAACATAGCAGATCAGATTTTATGGCTGACAGAATAGTAACCTGAGAATGCAGGATGAATGACAAGAACAGTAAAATATGCCAGGAGGTGCTAATACAAAGTGACAATTGAAGGGAGTTTTTCTGTCTTGCAGAATGCAATTGGGAAGGAAAGTGTGGCAGGAGGCTCCACCAGTCACATATCTTCTGATCATTCATCTTCTCTCCGTGTAAGCATAAGGTCAAGCACCCTTCTTTTGCTGTCTCTGATTGCACTCTCATTCTGTTGGTGCCCACGTTCAGAAGAAACCTTGTATCTGCTTTAACAAAAGGACCCATCAAAAGAAAGAAAGAAAATCTGTCTATCCTCCATCCTCCTCTGTTGTTGATTGTAAATTACAGTTCTAGGAATTAAGTTGAAATGCTCTGCTAAAAAAAATAAGACTGGATCAATGTTGTTCTCATTATCATCATATTATATCGTTACTATTATTTTCTATTTTCAAAGAAAGATTCTTAGATGCTTTGCATAGATGGGACACCCACATTCCAAACAGAGTAGAGTTTGAACAGGCAGTGTTTGAAAAGAGACGGATAATTTGCATGTAAACCATTCAAGTTTTATTCTTTTGTCTCTTCCTCATTGTCCCCCCCCTTTTTAAAAAAAAAAAAAACCTGGACCAGGAAGAAATAAACTTGACTCTTCAAGTTCTAGTTTTTTGTATTTGTTGCCCAGGAATTTTTCCTTTGCCAAACCCATTAAAATGAATGGGACCTACTGTACACCATCATATGGTGATTGTAGGTTTCAATTAGTTCAACCTTGCTCAGATGGAATTTGGAGACAAACCGTGGTTTCCAAATATTTGGAAACATTGCCAGAATGGTTAATAATTTAATAATTTATTCCTGATAAATTGGGACCCAGTTTAGAAATGTTTGAAATGTATGTATTGAAAGCCTAGATATTGGACCGCATTACAAGATTTTTTCATTGCTCTCTTTGTAGATAAGAGACTATAGAGCAGGCAAAGAAAAACCTGCATAAATTGCCACTTGGCAGATTTGGGCCTTTTAAATTGAAAAACAGTAAGTTAAACATATTTTGAGTCGGTTGTGGATCTGGCTATGCGATGAACATGCTATGCTCTTCCTGAAAGTTTTTTTTATATATATTTAACTTATTCATGTTTGGCTACCAGTATTTTGCTGTTTTAGCATTCTCTTCTATGTTTGTATATGTATGTAGTTTTGCAGTTAAAATGAGAAGCCATTGTAAATCATAGCAGTATAATACACATATTTTCTTCAAAACTTCTGCAGAAATATAAAATAATATTAAACTTTCTAATGCTATTTTTATTTTTGTGGTTATGCTAATTCAGCCTTAATGAAAGGTATTAAAATGCATTAAGAAGAAGCAACTGTTGTGAATATTGCAGTAATGCAAAATTTGTTTATCTTTCTGAAGATATATTTTAAAAAATAGAAACTTGCTTTTGTTAAAGAATTTCAACTTTAGCATTGTTGACCTTCTTTCTGTAATTATAAAGTTTAGTTATTTAACTGGTGAATGAGTAAAAAGTATTGAATTTTGATTATTTAAAAAAACACACCATATCTATTAATATTTACTCTTAGATAAAGATAAGTATAATTGTTTGCTTTTAATTTCTTGACCCAATACAGAAAACCGTAAGCACAGGCAGAAGGTTATAACATGTTTCCATATTTTCAGAAATGCATCCAATAAAGATGTGAACACATAGCATTCAACAGATCATAATAGTTTCCTGTATGTGAAGTTTCCTATCCGCTTATTTTTAAAAATACAAATATATCAGATTTGGTAAGCATTTAATTCTCTGGACAGGGATACATGAACAAAAAATTACCTTGCACTGGAACCAGTACAATACTATACATTGAATCTGATAAGTTTGTTGATAAACCAGTTTTAAGAATTGATCAATACTGTCTAAAATCCCAGTAATACTGATCCAGGTGTTCTCAACTTTCCATGTGGGCACTATCCACATGCACACACAAATACACATTCTCCATAACCAAGTATTATTTCATGTGGAAAAATGATTCCTGACTTGGTATATATATTTTTAATATGTACCGTTTTCCAATTAAAATGTATGTGACCATGACAATATATAACTATGTATGCCATGCTCATGTATGTTTTGAAAAATTGGGCTTCTTGTGGTTCTTTCTGACATTTGTTGAAAGCATTCTATATTATATTAAAACATTTCCTCTTGTTTAACACAATTGTGATGTTATATGATGTTAATTTCTTATAATTTGAAAGCAACAGTTAGACAAGGATAGAATAGACCTGCTTCCATTGTCTTGCACAATGTATGGCAGTAAAATCTGATGCCATAGATGCAAAAATACAATCAGGATTATCAGTGGTTTTGCATCTAAATGATGTAATTTGAATTGTACAGTGCTGTGCAGTTGCAACCAAGTATACAATTTTCTTTTTTAATTTAAATTGGGGAGGAATGGAATGCAAGATCAGAATTGTTATTGTTCCCTTTTAAAGAATTCAATTTAAAATAGCACTTTTTTAAAACAAATTTTATTGATTTTCAAAAACAAACACAAACAAACAAAACATAAAACATAAAAAATCTTTTTTGAAAGCAGCTTGATCCCGGGTTACATCTCTTCGTACAGACACAAATTCAAATTCATGCTCGTTTTATATACCATTCCATATCTTATTGCCATTTTCTATATAGCTTCTCCCCTCTTTTAACTTTCTTAGTTTTATTTTATTTATCTCATCTCAGTTCAGATCATTATGCTTATATTCTTTGTCTGTCCTGTTTCCAGCTATCTATTATCTTTTCTAATTAAACAAAATTTCTCCTGTAATCACTGATTGGAGTATGACGCCTTTATCTCTTTCCCCTAAATAACACTTAGTATAGTACATAACTTCCATTTGGATTCTGCTTAGTACATTCTAAAGTTACACACTATATTTTAAAAAGAGAAAAAATTATAAATATAAATATAATTAAAACAACAATCCATACCAATTCAAATCTATCATTAATATTAATATTCATTTAAATCTTAAACATGTTACACATTACTTTTCAAATAAGTATCATACTTCTATGGGAACACTTATAAACTTTCCATAATTATTCCCCCCCCCCACTTCACTTGTATTTTAAAACATTGTGTCATTAAAATGTTCCCATTCCTTCCTAATTCAATTCTCTCATTTATTTCATTTCCTTTCTTTTGTTCACAAAAGTTTCACTGAATTACACTGAGTATTTTATCCCACTTTTTAATCATATGTTGTTTCCAATTTTCTAACATTATTTCTAATACAAATATAACAATACAATCTTATGTACCTTTGCAGAATCACTTTTTCAGTTAAGTTTTTACCCATTACCTCTAAATATCCTGTTTCTTTACATCTTGCTCTACACCTTTGAAGCTTCCCTTCCTTCCTCCCTTGCTTCTTCTCTCTGCCCTTTTTACCCCCTTGTCTCTCCACCTCCATTTCCCTCTTCTGTATTTCCCCTTTCTGTTGCTTTCTAACATTATATCCACTTTTCACCTTATTTTTCCCTTTTTTGGTTGTTTTTATAGATCTTAAAGTCTCCGTTTTCTTTTCCTCCTTTCACCTTTCTTCCCCAAGTAAAGTTACTTGTTCATTAAAGATGGCTTCTTCTTTGTCCCAATCCTCTTGTTGTGCAGTCCTTTCTTGTAGTTTCTCGTAGGTACTGATCGCCATTTCTAAGAATTGAAAAAGAGAGCCAAGAGAGCCCTTCCCTTCTTCTTCCTCTTCTTTGTATTTTTTAAATTCCATTTTCAGTTCATCCACAAGTGATGCCATTGTAAAAAAAATTTTTTTTCCAAACAACCACCCAAGTTTTTTTAGTCATTCAAATATAATTTCCAAAAGTCCCAAAGTCACCAAACAATCCAAATACACACAAGCTGTTTCTTTTGACACTTTCTTCTTTTTTCACTTTCTCTTCCTGGGGCTACTGTTTAGTTACAAAATTCCAGTTAAAATGTATCTTTTAGAAGTCTTGTTAGTATTTAATCAGATTCTTTTAAATTCTAGGCAGTCTCCTCCTTCCGAATCCTGCTCTTATTCTTTTCCTCTCCCTTACCACTTACAGCAAGAAAAAAAAGTTTCTTTTTTAGTGTTCAGAAATCCTTATTATTCCCTTGACATTTAATTATCCAGTTTAATTACCTATTGATGCCAAAGCGGGTTTTTCTGATTTCTCATTCATTTCTGTTCACTGTCAATGTTAGGAAGGAGAGTGAAAAAAAAAAAAAACTTTCCCGTTTCACTTTTGTTCGCTGCTTCCGACTCTTCTTTGGGAGTGATGTATCTTTTGCAAAATTTAAATTCCAGGGTACCTTAGTTGTTGCTTTTTGTCCCGGTCAGCCAAAAACTTTCACTTCTTAACTTCCTCCTGCACTTTCTTTTCCGGCTGAGTGCTTCTTTGAGGTGGCCATTTCTGACCGCCGCTCTTACCGCCTTTGGAAAAGGAAGTTTAGCCAGCTGAGGAGGAGAGATGCAGCTCCCTTTGACCCTGCCAGGTCTCTCCTATCTTCACCACCTCTACAGGTTGGCTTAGCCGGCTTCTGGGCCCTCCAGCAGCGAGCGCAGGCAGAAACCGCCACGATCGCGGATTCCTGCCTGCCGCTGAAGCGCTGCAAACCGGAACTCCTCAATTTGAAATAGCACTTTTGATCAAATTATTTTGAGCTTCAGTCTTGTTCCTGGTTGATCTGACAAAGATAAAAGAATTTTATTTGAATTCTAAAAGAAAGTATTCAAAATTCAGGTATCAAATAGGAACAACTTGTTTTAATGAACTGTGATGGCTTGAGGTATTTTAAGTCAAAAAGTAGTGGCTATTAAGCAGTAATGCCTAGCTGTTTATTTTATCAAGACTGGGAAAGTCTATGTAAGACAGAGTTCATTATTTACATTTAACTCCAAAGAATTGTAGAATGTAATGATTGGAAGGGATTTCTAAACCCAACTCCAATACATGGAAACACTACTGTAGCATCTATTACAGAGAGCTAGCCAGCCTCTCTTTATATGTCTTCAGCAAAGGAAAAACTCTCAAGATTGTCTGTTCTATTCTTGAAGAGTTCATACCATTGGGAAATGTTTACTGATGTCAAACTGAAATCTAGTTCCTTGTCTAAGTCCATTGTTCTGTTTTATGAGTAATTCTGTCCTGTTTTCAACTCAAAAAGCCTTAATATATATGAAGACAGCTAACAATTCTTCCTTTTCCAACTGAATGTCCCCATAGCATCCAGACCTTTCACATAACATTTTTCTTTCACTAAGAACTTGGTTGCTCTGTTGCATCAGTTTGTTAATGTCTTTCTAAAATGTGGTGCCTAAAATGGGATGCTTATGTAATATTGACATCATAGTTTTGTCCATATGGTGCAACCTATGGTTGTATTTGCTTCCCCCCCCGCTTACATTTCTTTCCAGCTCTTGGTCATCTTATGGTCTACAAGACATCCATATGCTTTTTGTATGCAGTTCTGTCTAGTACAGTTCCCTACATCTTGTCCCTTTGATTTTTCTTATCCAAATGTAGAACTTTTTAATGTTCTTGTTTTTTCCTGTGCAAATGTTCCCATTTTTATAGATTCTCCTGAATTCTAATTCTATCTTTAAAAGGTTTGATATCATCCTGTGTATGTGCATAGCATATCTGTACTGTGATTGAACTTATCAATTCCTTGTAATATTTACAATTTAATTTTATTGCATAGGCAATTTAAGATTATGCAAAGGTATCCTATGACTATGATGTGGTTATTAATATAATTTTTTTCTTGCTCTTAAGAAATTCCCCAGCTGTTTCAAGCCAACACATTTTTTAAAAGACATGGTTTTTCATTGTGAGATCCAAATAAGAATTTCTTTTTTTAAAAAAAATGAACAAGTTCTAAGTCAAAGGTTTAAATTTGGCTATTAGAATCTTTAACGTTTTATACAGCCTTCATATTATTTAAGTAGCACTAAATATATAAATTGTTTATATCTTCTGTGTAAGAATTACATGAGTTCTGTTCAAAACCAGAGAATTATTTTCTACTTAAATGTCCACCCAGAAACCCACTTTATCCATTAATTAACAATCTACATATCAATTGTGTCATCTTTAATATAAAATTTAGGGAATTTTTG